AACAAGGCGATAGCTACACTCAAACATAACTATTTCAATACTCCTTGGGCTATTGTCTCTTTCGTTGGTGCAATCTTCCTCCTTATTTTTGCCCTGCTTCAAACTATATTTTCTGGTATATCTTAAGAAGTGAAATCTATCCAAATAATATAGGTATGTTTCTTTTAAATTTTCCTCGTTCAATCTTTACCTTATTAAATGTTAACTTTGTAGTTGCCAATCTTTTTAAATAAATATTATGTTACATTTGTGTTTGTTATCCTACCTATAGTTATTTAATGGACCATAATCTTATGCTAAAAGTTCAATTACTACGTTTTTTATATTATCTCTATTCTTTGTTTGTTATAAAGAAGCGTTTAAGATTGGCACGGGTACATGAAAATTTGTGTTTGTGAGGGAAGGGTGCATAATGATCAAGTTTTGAAGTTTTTGTTTACTCTTCGCTATATTTTTTTTCTATATTTGTTTTATACTAAACAATTAAAACTATTTAGATATCAATTCTTTTGAAATTTAAGTAATGAAGTTTTGTTTCCGTTAAAACTATATTAGTTGGATGTTTTCGAAACTTGGATATGTTCTAGAAGACACACCTAAAAACATCCCATCATGAAGGTTGACTAACCTCTTATTATAAAAGATATTTTTTACCAAAATTTTAGAAAATTTGATTTTAAATTGAGGGCAATGCTTCATATTTCATATTTTAAATTTAGTTTAAGCTTCCTCTATAAATAAGAAGTAAGGGCAGTCATTTGGAGCAATATCAAGCAGTGTCAAGCCTTCAACCGTGAGAAATCAACATTTAGATTTTGGGTATCTCTTCCTTGAATTTCTTCTAAATTTGAGAGTTGTAATTCACCATTTCCCTTCAAACTTTTTTCTTCCCCTTCTAAAAAGTATTGTCCACCAATCCTCCAAAGAAATCAAGAATTTGAAAATGTTCCTAACTTATATGTCCAATTTCATCCGTCATTATATATGTTTAAAAGCTTAGAATCGCATTCTCACATTACACATGAATTCATCATGTCTAACCTATCACATTCATACCATCAACAAGCATTTTCATCAAGAATCATGTCCAATTGAAGAAAAATATATTCGGGTAAGATTTGAGGTTAAGTTCAAATTTCCAACCTAGGATCCTCTAAACAAAAATTAAGGACCTAGTAAGGACTAGAGGGAGCTGCTAATGAGTTTCTGCATTTTGGTTGACTTCCAATCAAGCCTTTGACTCAAACATCGCCACGATCACACAAATTTGTTCTTCCGAGATTACGTAAGCATGAGGTAAGTACAAGGAAGAAGTTTCGTGAAGAAGTCATGTCTTGAAAAGGTCTTAATTAGCCTGACAAATAACACCAACTATATGTGAAGAGGGAAAAAATGCGTGTTTGCACAACAGCGAATCAACTTCCTTGGACACGTAATAGAAGCAGGCAAGGTAGGTATGGAAGTGGAGAAAGTCAAAGCCATCAAGGAGTAGAAGACCCCTCCTCAGTGATAGAAGTGCGCTATTTCCTTGGGTTGGCAAATTACTATCGGTGATTCGTGGAAGGATTCTCAAAGCGCGCAGAGTCCTTGACCAAACTACAAAAGAAGGAAAACAAGTGGAGCTAGACTTCACAGTGTCAAGAAGCCTTTGGCAACCTTAAGAATGCCATGATGGAAGGGCCAGTTTTAGGGATTGTCGATGTGACGAAACCTTTCGAAGTCGAGATGGTGCTTCAGACTTCGCCCTAGGGGCGTCCTACTGCAGGAAGGACACCCCATTGCATACAAGAGCCAGAAGCTAAACGATGCAGAAAGAAGGTACGCAGCATCCGAGAAAGAAATGTTGGCAGTGGTCCACTGTTTACGATCTTGAAGATAGTACTTCTTCGGAGCCAAAATTGTAGTGAAGACACACAACAGCTCCATATCTCACTTCTTTAAAAAAATCCAAGTTATCGTCGAAGCAAGCGCGTTGGCAAGAATGCATTGCCGAATTTGACTTCCAGTTCACACACAGGCTATGTAAAGCAAACCAAGCTTCAAATGCTCTAAGTTGAAAGAGCGAGCATGCAGCCCTGTGCATGTTAGCTCATCTACAAGCAAGTAAGTTGAGTGGAACGATACAGGAAAGTATCAAGGAACACCTAGCCCGGTCGCTCAGGCCATCATGCAGTTAGCAAGAGAGGGGAAGACTCGCCAGTTTTGGGTCGAAAACAATTTACTCTTAACCAAAGGAAATCGTCTCTTCGCCCCTGTTCGGGGAACTTGAGGAGACTCCTACTAAATGAATGCCACAACACACCATGGGCGGGTCACAACGGGTGGTAGAGAACCTATGCCCTCCTAAAAAGGGGTACTATTGGCCGAACCTCTACGACGATGCGATACAATTCACAAAGATCTGTCTTATCTGCCAACAAGATGAGGTTGAACGAAACATAATTGCGGGACTACTAGAACCTCTACCAGTCTCGTCCCGACCATGGGAAAGTGTTTCTCTAGACTTCATCACACACCTCCCCAAGGTAGGAGAAATGGAGTCTATCTTGGTCATCATTGACAAATTCTCCAAATATGCCATATTTATCCCGACCCGCAAGTCATGCTCGGCCAAAACGACCATACAATTAGTTTTTCAACACGTAGTCAAGTTGTGGGGCATTCCCACTAGCATTGTTAGCGATCGCGATCCGAGATTCACAGGATCCTTTTGGACTGAATTGTTCAAGCTATTGGGGTCGAGCCATCTCTTCGAGTAATCACCCCAAAACTGATGGACAAACAGAAAGGTTTAACAGTATGCTTGATTAAGTCTTGGCCAGTTTCAAAGAAAGTGTTTTAGAAATGGTAAGGAAGGAAATGTATTTTTTTTTTCTTTTTTCTTTTTTTTCTTTTTTTTTTTTTTTTTTGTTGTTGTTGTTGTAAGAAAGCAATAGTACAGCCTAAAAGAAAATAAGCAACAACCACAACTTTGATAGCATATAACCTGAATAGGAAGAATTAATGACTAGTCACATACCTTATAGTACATTTTGAGGTATTTTAGCCCTGACGGGTGTAGACACAATTTTTTTGATAGGTTATACACCCCCGTACTAACACAACAATAATAGTGAATGCCTATCTAACTTGAAAGTAAGTAAAGGGGTTTGGAACGGACATGCGGCTGTGGACAACACGTCATGAAAAGCATAATTAGGACATCTTGCACGCGACCGTAGGCAACACGCCTTGGACAAGCATGACCATGACAATCTACAACTTGACTTAAGCTCACCTCGTCTTGACAAGGTATGTAAGTTGTAGGGTTAGTAGGCATGATCTCACTCCTTATGTGAATTATATGCATATGTCAGTTACTGTCTTTTGAACTAATTAGGATACAATTGGTTACAATACCTAATAACTTGGAGTCTATGACATGATGATAGATTATGGATCTTAAAACCTGAAGTGGTACTATACGAGAAGATAGAGCAGGTAGAGCCTTGACTGAGACCTATCCTGCTCAAATTCCTTATAAGGAAAGGCGTGCTAAGAACAAGCGTTGGAATAAGTAGATACCATGATGCTACCATCTATGATCTAGGTCAATCAGATAAACTATGGTAACATAAACAGTGGAGAAAATGTCAGAATATCTTAGTGGTCGAGAGTGTTAAGATTATTCCCTAAAGCCTCGTAATTAATTGTTTAATTTTAATAATAACTTTGATTATTTTATTTAAAATTTAATATTATCCCATATGTGATTCACATACAAGAGGATCATGTTTAAGAATAACTAAAGGGTCTATAGTATATGGATAAGGTTTGCCGATGCTAAGCAACTAGAAGGTTCAACCACACCATAGGTAATTCCTTCAGCATTTTTACATAAAGCTTTAGCGATGTGATTCTCGTAAGTTAGCTTTATGTCTATCAAGCTTAATCCAGTGCAATGATTTGTTGGGCTACAATCAAAACTGATTGCTATTTCAGTGGCCGAAGTTACCTTGATGTCTTCGTATGTTACTTCGCTAACTTTAACTTCAGAATCCTAAGTTATATTATAAAACCAAATATAAACTAGGAATTCAATAATAAGATATAAATCGACCATAGTCTTAAATTTTCTAGATAGTATATATAAGTTAGAGCAATTATCTCTAATGATATTAGATATTTTGGATAAATTAAAAAATAAAATCATAAAAGCTTCATACCATTTTAAGACATCGGAGAATAATAGCATCCCTAATTTATTACCTATAAAAGTAATTTAATGTACAAAAAAAAAAATAATAATACTAATAATTTAGTATCCATCTTAAACCTAAACAAATTTCAAACAAAGATAAAATAAATCAATTATTTATAAAATAAAAAAATTAAGTTCTATTCCTTCGATTTAAGCTTAAATATAATTAGAAAAAATTTAACATGTATGAGATTAATGAGGAAAATATCCCTGACCAGGACAATCTTTGAGATGTGGACAATAATTTTGATTAATTATGAACTTTTGTAGCGAATCCATTGCTTGATCTTTCCCAAGACTTAATCCTTACTCCATTTTGAGTCCCCGTGAATGTAGATGATTTCAATGTAATGTTATGCACTCCATCCTCCTAAGCCTCCATCCCTAAGCTCCCAATGCTACAAACACCTTCAACAAAATATCAAATATTTCATGAGTTTTAATTTCCAAAATAATTTATCCAAAATAATTTAAATCATTTTTCTCCCGTTCAAAATATATTATATACACTTTTATATTATATATTATATAACTATTTTTATCCAAAATAATTTTAAAATAATTTAAATCATTTTTCTCCCGTTCAAAATAACTTTAGAATATATTTTAATCATTTAAATTTAATTTTATGTTTAGTTTTATCTTTTAAAATTGAATGTGACAAATTTATTTAAACTCTTTAAAAAACATTTTTAAACATGCTCATCCTAATCTATCTCTAGTTACCTGATTCCATGTCTAGGTCCACATGTAATACTTTTCATCCACATGTTAAATGTCTCTGGACCGATGGAGACCAGTCGTCACCATTTTTGATGTTCGAGTTGAGGATGGTCACATCTGATGATTGTTGCACATGGATGCCATCACTGTTTGGACTATCGCCTGCAGAAAAGACATTCACACCTGTCATATGCACATTTTGGCACCGATTCATGACAATGCTGAACAATTGGCTGTTAATTGAAGATAATCCATTGATGTTCACTTCTTTCCATCATTTATTTGAAGACTCTATCAATTCAAAACAATCGAAAGCCAGAATTAGTAAAAATTTAAAATAATATTGTAATTAATCCATTCTATTTTCTTTCAACTTTGGGTTTAAAAAAAATCAATTTTTTTTGTATGGAGCAAACTCAAATTCTGCATACCCATGGAGCAACTCTTCCCTGAGTGTTTGTAATTCCATAAGGTAGTTCCTTGTCCATCAATAAGACCGCCAGTAATGGAAAGCCCATTTATATGATTAAACAAAATCCAAGAACTAGATTCAGCTAAAACTTGAATGTCCGAGGAAGCCACAAGAGTTCCATCAATGAGAACAGTAATAGCATTGTTCTTACAAGGCCCATTAAATCTCGCACTTCGAACGAAGAATATATCCTCGGGAACGTAAATAATGGCTGGTTTAGATGAGTCACAGGCCTTAGCCCATGTCGTTTGAAGCACAGGCAAGGCATCAGTCTTTTCATTGGGCTTAGCTCTGAGAGTAACAATATTGAATGTTAATTCAGCAGTTGAGGCATGGTTAAAAAACAAAAGTAGAAGGGAAAGAAAAACATGCAAGATTACAAGAAGAGAGAAAGAAAACTTAATGATACAAGTGTTCATGATAAGCATGAGAGAGAAAAAAAAGGAAGCAAGTGATAGCATAATAGAAGAGGTGTGGAGTGATATTTATAGGTTAATGCTTACTCTTCTAACTATAATTTTAATTATCTGTACTATTTTATTCTTATTCTATTTAATCATTATTGTTTTTATATGGTTTAACCCTTTTTAATTATCTATGTCATGTCGGTAAATTTAATTTTTAAATTTAAGTCTATCTTATAAGATAAGACACTGATTATCATTTTAATGATTGATCTCTCATTTTTAAAAGTATTAAATTAAAAAAAAAAAAATTCTTTGTCAATATTATTTTATTTTTGTTCTAACTTAAAAAGGTATGGGAAGATTTTAACTAAAAAAAACCTAATTTTTCCAACAAATTATTTTCTAAAAATGGATGTTTAATTATTTGTTTAGGTCACCTAAAGAACTATGCAATAGAACAAAATGCTATTATATATTTTTTTATCATGTCGTTGTTAGTGATGTAATAGAAAGTTGGTGACTTTTTATTTGCAAAAATGTCACAAATAATGAGAGGTAGAATTGTTTGTCATATTTGTAACTATCCAATAAAGTTACAAATGCATCACACAAAGAAATAATTTAATAATGTTACATTTTTTGAAGTCTTAAAGTCTATCAATGATAGAGTATATCAATAATATGCCGTTTTTATATCTATCAACAAATTTTTTTTATCATTTATAGACTTTTTTTTTTTATGGTCGCTTGGTGATAGATTTGTATCAATATGATAGACATCTCTTTTCTCCTTTGATTAAATTGAACCCAATTATCACTATGATAGGTTCTTTCCTTTTATCACTTAATTTTGTAGAATCATTTAAGCACGAGTAGTTGAAAGTTTGTAAATTAGACTTGATCAGTTTAAAATGAATGAACTAAAATCTAATTGGTGTAGAGCCAACAAATCTCCAAGGGGATGGATGGAGAGAGAGATCCATGAAAAGGTAAAATAAGTGAGGGATGAGAGAGATATCTTCTAAATAGAAAGATGGGGCGCCTTAAGCAACTATTAGGACTTGTATATAACCACGATAGGAAGAATTGAAAACTTGTCACATCCCCCTATAGTAAGTTTTGAGGCATTTTGATCTTGGTATGTATAAACATGATTTTGGTGAACGGTCATACACCTTCGAATTGACATAATAGAAATGATAAAGACCTAACTCCGTAAAAACAAGTAAAAGGGATTGGAACGAGCATGAGGTCACTGACAACACACCTTGGACAAACATGATAGTGACATCTAGAATGCGACTATAGGTAACGGACCTTTGACAAGCATGCTTGTGATATTCTCCTCCACTCAATTGGTTGACATCTTTATCAACTAACTCTTCACGAACTAAGCAATGTAGAATGAGGCTGACTTTAGCCCTCTCGAAGTGTTTCCAACCGATCTCAGCATTGTGATATCTCTTCCGATCTACCAAGAAATTTTATAAGTCTTTTCTTGATCCGTTGATGTATCATTTAACCAAATTCTCTTCTACTTCCTTCGTAATGAGATTCTTCATTATGGCAAGAGGTCGTGTTGCCGCATTGTTATTGGTGTCTTCTCGATTGGGATACATTTCAAGTTTATGACGTGGATAAATAACTAGTCCTCATCCATGGGAGCAATTGGTTCCTATAGGATCCCTTCCAAACCTTCTACATGACTTTGACCGGTCTATAGTATTTTTGCATCAACTACTGATTCTTATTGCTTTGGAATCGAAGTTGATCGGATCTAAGCTTGATTAGAACTTTGTCTTCACTTCCAAACTTTTTGCAGCTTGTGTTTCCAACCAGTTATTCTATTCATTCGTTTGGATGTTTTTTTCCCGATTAGACACTAGTTCCTTGGGAGATTTGTCTCCACCTTTTGGTGGAGGTATTCGCTTGGACCTCTCCTCAGCATTCGAGTGATCACTAAAAAATTTGACATTCAACAAGTCATTTAACTATTTATGAGATTCAGCTAGCTCCGATTGAGGCAAACGACACATATTTGTAATAGAGGATCTCGTCCCTAATACTAAATCAATTTTAGATCTATCACTCTAGGTGGAGAAGCCATATGTTGTGATGTTTTCCTCTTGTGACTTGTGAGGTTTTTATTTGAATTTGCTCACTCGAGCCCTCCTCTTCAATAATGGGAACGATGATGAGCGTGGGTTCATAATAGGAAAGTTTGAGTCTCAATTATAACATCGATATCATCTTCACCCTTTTGGTTATCGGGTATGGATTTGAATGATGGTGTGGTTTGACCTCATAACCACGAAGCATTTTGTTTGGGGCATGGAAATGACCTTACCTTTAAGAAAAAAAATCTATTCCCAACATGACATTGAAATCCTTCATCTTGATTATCATAAAATCAGTTTGCTCAATCCAAGTCTCCAACTTGATCAAAGTTCTCTTTGCAACTTTTGAGATAGGTAAGGCTACAAAATTACAAAATTGACAGTTTTATCGTCCCAGTGTCTTGATGCTTGAGAGTGTTCAAGTGTTTCTCTTTGTTCTCTATCATGAAGTTGTGGATGACTCTAGAATTGATCATTCTACTCTTGGCAAATCTATAGTTAACCAAGACCTCAATGTACATAAAACATCATTCTATTGGCTCTTTTGTCTCTCCCACTCTCTTTTGGAAAGCAAATAGTACTTCAAAGTCCCCCATGCATGGGTTTTTGACGCTTTGACTTGAATGACATGGAGAACCACCCTTTTTGGGTATTCAGATTCTCGATAGGCCACCTTGCATATGAAGCAAACGAGTGCCTTTATTTGTAGTTTTTTTTGTTCATGAAGTTTGTCATGAATATCTACCTCTCTTTTAGGAGGATTCATAGTCTCATCCTCGAGCTAGTCTTGTAATTAATTATTTAACAATTATTTTATTTATAATTTAATATTATTCCTTGTATGAAAAATCCAAGGTGTCAAAACTCGAATTTTCAGTCATCAAAACCCGTGACATGAACCAAGAGACATCAATCATACAATATACTTCAATGAAGATGAGAAGCAAATATAGTTGAAATTATCAAAAGATATTTTTAATTCATGCTACATCGAAGAAGAATGAAGTTACATGTTATAAATTTTAGGTAGATTACAATTTAGAGTAATTTAGAGTATATTGTATGAGTGATGTCTCTTGGTTCATATCAACCTGGAGACTAAAAAGATAAAAGCAAAAATAAATAAAAATAAAATAAAATAATAAAATGAAGTAAAATCAAAATCAGATTAGTGGAACAATATCACAATAAAAATACAAAATAAATACCGTTAATATTGTTTAAATTTATTACCATGGGAAAATGGATTTGGGATAGAATTATAAAATGTAATACAAAAAATGAAAAAAATAGACCATTAACTTGTGAACACCTAAAAAAAATAAAAGGGAAAAAGGGTGAGTAAATAAATATATCTAGTAAGCAATTTATCTGTAGGCTCTCATCACAACTTAGACCTAGCTTGTGATCATGGACTTTACTCTAGGCTCTAGGTGGAGATCTGTCGTTGTTCATAGACTTGGGAGACTACGGCAGTGGTAACCGGTGTCCAAGGTTAAGGTGATACCTCACAAAACTCTCTCTAATAGGTGGGGACAACATGGTGAGTGCTAGCTTGCTCATCATCCATGGGAGGTATTTAAGGAACTCGTCCCACAAGCCATGTAGTCACCTAAAATTAGGGGTGCCACCCCGTATGTGTTAGCTTCCTTGACTACCCGTAAGATCAACACTCACTCACCCTGCAAAGGAATCCAAGTGAACTATCAAGTAGCATGTTCCTATCCAACCGCACACCTAACTCAACAGTATGGTACTGGAATGGAAAGGGAAGTGGAATCTCCATAAACTTTATTGTCTACAATCGGCCTAGGTGGATACCTTTATGTACTAGAGTTGTCGTGGTGGTCTTTTAAGTCCCTAGGGCGATTTGGCAGCCTTGACATAGATTCACGTCTCTAGGTTCCTCGATTCCATCTCTTTGAGTCTGATTCAGTCCGGAGCATTAGGGGCTACACTTTTTTATGTCTTTGTAAAATAATTGGATGGATTAAGTTTGTAATAAATAGTTATATTAAATAGGTCCTCATAATTTCAATTTAATTGAAATTTAAATGAATTTATTCGGCCAACGCTTTTATTTTGAACCAAACATAAATTAATGCGGAGAACGGTCCGTTTAACTTTTGGTATCCTCTCTTCCCTATCTCATTATTTTTCAATTTCATTAGTACTTTCACTTTCCAAAATACTTTTACACATTCCATTTATTATAATTATGAACCTGAATTATTAAATTGTGATAGTAATTTAATCATTTAAGAAAAGAGTTAAAATAATCTAACAATTAACTGATAAGCCCATTTTTAAAAACTTACATTCGTATATAAGTTTCATTCTTCTTTTATATATTTATGTTTATAATTATATAAATATTTATAATAATTTTATAATTAAGATTAACTAATCTAAATATTATACATCAATACATTTATACCATGGTTAAACTAATTTGGTAGTAGATGGATACATTATTTCAAAAATGTCTAATAATATCAATTAGACACTCTCTTATAAAAAATGATTCAGTTTTCTCTCTAATGGAGGTGGGATTTCACAATCCACCCCTTTCAGAGCTCAGAGTCCTTGTTGGCAATCATTTCGTTTCCCTTTCCAACCGACGTGGGATCTTACAATCGACTTCCTTCACGGCTCAATGTTCTTGCTCCCACTCATTCCTCTCTCCAATCGATGTGAGATTTCTCACAGTACTCTCCCCTTTTGGGCCCAGTGTCCTCACTGACATACCGCTTAGTTTTTGGCTCTTATACCATTTGTAACAATTTGTAACAATTCAAGCACACCACTAGCAGACATTGTCCTTTTTGAACTTTTACTTTCGAGCTTCTACAAGGTTTTTATAACACGTCTATTGGGATAGATTTTCACAACCTTATAGAAAATACTTCGTTTATCTCTCCAATCGATGTAGGGTCTCACAATCCACCCTTCTTCAGGGTCCAGCATCCTTGCTGACAATCATTTCTCTCTCCAATCGATATGAGATCTCTCACAAAAAAACTTCTAAACTTATATAAATGCATGTCCTCTTAGCTCTAGGTCGGCCTTTAGGTTGGCCTTGATAAGATGCCGTAGTTTCTCTCTTACATTTATTAGTATACAATTATATTTATTGTGGAACCTCCGGCTATAAATGAGTATGATAGCATCGAAGAGAAGAGAAGAGAAGAGAACATTGATTTTATGGATCATATCAAGGTAACCTTTCTTGCTTTCACTTTCAAACATGACTTTTATTTTATTTTTGTCGTCATATCTTCATTTCGTAACATATTTAGATTCATTCAGTAACATTCATATTAATGGTTTTTTTTTCCTCTTTTTAATTTCAACTTTTGAGAAATAAAAGCTTTTCGTTAACTACTTCAGGTAACACCTTCAAATATGAATTTTAGAAACATTTTTTATAAAAAGGTGAAAATAGAACTAAGATAGAAGAGCCAACGTCTACAAACAAAAAACAAAAAAACAAAAACATTGTTTTGACTCAAGAATGTAATTTTAAGTAATTTTAAGAATGGTGCCAATCTATTCCTTAATTCTATTCCGTAGATTTTGAATAATTTGATTTAATTTTAGCAACACAAAAACCTTGAATGCAGGCAAGTAGCATGGCAACGTTCATTCTTTTAAACAATCCAAAACACACGATATCGTCTCTGACAGTAAAAGGAGCACGCCTTTTTGTTACAAGATTTCTTGGTCGATACATATCGACCGGATCGTTAATGTGAGTCAACACGATACTATATTCATTTGTTTCATTCTTAATGAGAACTCATATTGGTTATAATAAATTTGATGACAGTATAATGTCATCAAATTAACAGCTTTGAGGGAACAATAACTAACAGCTTCCTCGGAAAGGTTGTTCTAAAAGTTCACAGCCCTCAGTTTTATTGGAAGGTAATTTAATTATTTATTTATTTTATTAATTTAAAAAAAAATTGTTGAAAGAAAAGGATAAAATATAATTTATTTTGGAAGGTTATGAGAGAAGCTGACTTAGGACTTGCCAATGCATATATCAATGGAGAATTTTCATTAATGGATAAAGAAGAAGGTCTTCTTAACCTTATTTTGGTGAGCTTAATTACTTCATTTCTTCCTAATCCTAATTAAGGTTCTTAATGATCGTCCTCATTCATGCTTATCTTCTCTTTTGCAGCTTCTTATTGCTAATAAGGATACAAATTCTTCTAATACGAGAAGGTAAATATGAATTATAAGACATTTTAATTACGAGTTTCATTTTTGAAGGAGCTTAATCGTAAGACCCCACCACTGATAGATATTATCAGTTTTAGCGTGTTATGTATCGTCCTGTTACATATCGTCGTTAGGCTCACCGTTATAAAATTTATTTGTTAGGGAGAGGTTTTCACTCCTTTATAAAAAAAAATGTATATGGGTATCCTATCCACCCCCTTGGGGTCCAGCGTCTTCGCTGGCATACCGCCCAGTATCTTGGTCTAATACTATTTGTAATGGCCCATGACCACCATTAACAAATATTGTCTGTTTTAGCCCGGTTATATATCGCCGTTAGTTTCATGGTTTTGAAACGTGTCTACTCGGGAGAAGTTTTCACACCCATATAGGAAATGTTTTGTTTTCCTCTCCAACCGATGTGGATCTCACATTAAAAGTTTTTAATAGGTTCTTGAATTTACATTTTTGTGTTTCTAATATATTCAATAAATTTAACAAGTGTTTAAACGATCGAAATACATCAAATAAAGATAGCAAAAAGAACAATGTGAGGGGAGAGATGTTTTTGAAACAAGGAACCTCAAGCACTTAACTTTCATTTCTCTTTGTTATTATTGTGAAGTACTAACTAGCTTCCTAAACTTTCTCCTCAAGTTAAGAAACTGACAAACGATCTTTCTCGTTAAAGCATAAAACTTGTCTATCTACTACCAATTTTCCTATAGTTGTTCCCTAACTTATTCTATCAAGTCTACCAACAATTCTCTTAAAGGGAGTGACTTATTAAGTTAAGTTTATAAGTTCATAATAAGTCTTTAAACCTTTAATCTTTTAATTAATAACAATTTCTTGAAACTTTCCTTTTATATTTAATGGATCTATAAACTAGAAAATTTATATTGAAAGCTACCAATAAACAAGTTATATTCTTATTCAATATTTTTAAAGTTTAAAGACTTGTTAAACACGAACATAAAAATTATTTTAGGACAACAATAATAACATTGAATTGGTAATTTTTTAATGTTAGTAATAGTGATCTACTTTTTGTAGGGGATGGTGGTCTCCTCCACTATTTACGGCAACTATAGCATCTACAAAGTATTTCTTTCAGCATACTTTAAGAAAGAACACCATTGCACAAGCTCGTAAAAATATTTCTCGTCATTACGACTTGGTAGTATATGGATGCATCAGTTTCTTAGTCTTTTTCTTTTCGTCTTTAGATTGATGATATCTCTTCAATCTTATTCGTATTCAATCAAAAGATAACTAGAATAACAGTGAAAAATAACAAACAAAAGAAATATAAGATAACTCAAATAAGTATGAGATGGTAGCGTTTGAGTAAATAAATTGTGAGACTAGAAGTGATCCAAAGATATAAAATTATGGTTAAAAAAAGTTTACAATAATTTATATCTCCTACCCATATTACTAAATAAAGTGAACATTTCTATAGAAACTTCAAAAATTAAACTGGTTGAATCTCTTTAAAATTATAGATTTTGAATCTGGAGGTGAAGAATTATAGAACAAATCACCCTATCAACCTTACAACTTAATTATTAATATACTCTCAATATCCAATAACATTTCTAATTACTATCTTAATACCATTTGTATCAAATTATTCTCCTCTCAATATCCAATAACATTTCTAATTATTCTATCTTAATACCATTTGTATCAAATTATTCTCTTTTATTGAATAATTTATTTGGTTGTATAGAGCAATGAACTTTTCTCTCTCTTCTTAGACGATACAATGATGTACTCATGTGCCATCTTTAAGGTTCGTATAACCAACTTTTATTTATTAAAAATCTCATAATCTATATGATGATTTGCATTGTTTTCTTAACAAAGAGGGAAGATGAAGATTTGAGGATTGCACAATTGAGGAAAATCTCTATTCTTATTAAGAAGGTGATTATTAATTATTACACAACTAAATATATTTTACGTTACCTAATCCTTACTTCTTAATAGGCACGAATCAACAAAAAGCATAAGGTTTTGGATATGGGGTGTGGTTGGGGAACTTTAGCTATTGAAATAGTTAAGCAAATGGATGTCACTGTACCGGCATTACTTTGTCCAAACAACAATTGAAATATGCCCAAAAAAGGGTTCAAGATCTTGGCCTTCAGGTAATATCTCTTTCTTATGTGCCTATTTTACTTCTTTCGATTGTTGTTTGAGTTAGGTAGTTTCTTCGTTACTTAAGAATCAAGAGATAAAGCTTATCATGAAGCAGCATCCTTATTACTTAATAATCAAGTGCTAACCTTGAGCTCCTATTGAATTAGGCTAGTATCTGGTTACTTAAAAATCAAGGGCTAACCTAAGCATAGCATGAAGCTTATGACACCCCCTAATCATAATACTTGGTAACATTTATTGAGCTTAAGTCATATTCACTATCCTAAAGTGAGCTTAAGTCATATTAAACTTCTAGGCCTCCATAAATCTTGGTTAACCATTAGAGGCACTTCTGTATTTCTCTTAAGCCATAACTTATACCCCTAACTTCTTTAGATTTTAAACTTGATCCAAACATCTTGAAATATAACATAACCCTTCATGTAGTTGTATATAGACCTTAATTAAAATACTGGATCATTAGGAGGGTATTTGGACCTTGAAATATTTTAAATGAACGTTAGGGACATTTTGGTCATTTTACCACCTTTAAACTTAGTTCGAACCCCAACCGTGATCAATAGTTCTAAAACTTTATATAATTCTTTCACATTGTAAAATAAGGCTTCATATAAAGTTTTACGATATTAGGAGATCAGTTGGGTAATGAATAAAAGGTAAGTTATGTTAGGGGTATTATAGTCATTTTACACTATTACTTGGTTTCATTACTAATCATTTTGATCCAACCTTCTTGTAGGATCATATTGAGTTTCTTCTTTGCGACTATCGAGAATTATCAAGTACAACTAAATATGATAGGATCCTATCGTGGTGAGTTTTCAAATGAAATAAAGCTATTAGTCATAATATGCATGAATTAGTACTATAACATAATAATTATTTGATTAAATTATAGATTTAGTATGTATCTAATAGATCACAAAACTTTTTAGATTCATGAACTTTGAATCTAGCTTAATGTCCTTAAACTTTGAAAATGAAAACTTTACACTAAACTTTTAGTTTTGCATCAAATAAGACATTAAACTTTTAACTTCTTGTTCGATAGATTCATGAATTAAAAAAAAAAAGTTGAATAAGTAGAGGATTGTCACAACCCAAATTTTGGGATTTTGAAACTCGATCAAAACTAAAAAGAAGAATGTGAGAAAAAAAGTAAAATACAAAAGAAAATCTAATTATAAGAAGGTGTTCTTTAAATTTATTATAAAAGAGAAAAATGGGTTTGAGATACCATTGAAAAAAAAAAATGAAAACAGACCGACACCACAGAACGATCCCCTCTCTGACCACACAGCTTTCGAATGCTCCTTCACCTCAACCGAAAACTAGTGAACACCCGAAAAGAGAGGGAAAAGGGTATGAATATGTAAATGTACCGAGTAAGCAATCTATTTGTAAGCTTTCATCACATCCATGATTTAGCAAGTGACCATGGTAAACTCTAGGCAACAAGTGTATTTTTCTTACTGTGTAGAGTCTTGGATAGGTAGCTTAGCCTAAAAAGTGGTAACCGGTATCCGAATATGAGGCACTACCTTCATAGACTTCATATTAGGTGGGAACAACATGATGAGTGCTAGCCTACTCGTCAATCCCACAAGTCATTTAGTTGCCGAATCAATCCCACAAGTCATTTAGTTGCCCAGGGTTAGGGGGCACTACACCCAATACGTGTCGCTCCATTGGTTATCTGCATGATCAAAGCTCTCCCATAGGACGAATCCTCCATGCAGGGTAACTACTAATTACCCGCATGATCAACACCCGACAACAGGATGCGTGTAGAGTAATCCAACAAACCATTGAGTCACACATTCCTAACCAACTTCATGGCTAACTCAACGGTACTGTACCAGAGTCAAGAGGGAAGTGGAGGTCCTCACACACTATACTACTGCTATCAGGCTATGAGACTACTTTTGTCATTCATGGATGTCGTAGAGGTCTACTAGGTTCTTAGAGGTATCTAGAAAGTTTAAATCACATCTCTCATTTTCAGGACGTTCGAGGTTAGCTCCTTGGACTAAACTAATCTCTATGTGCACACAAGTCTAAACCTCTAATCTCTCACAATCCTGAAGTGCAAGATCTACTAGAAATGTATTGACTTGGGTCAATAAGTAAATCGCGCTAGCTGTAGCGTTCTAATCTTAATTGACTTTTTTCATGGATGCTTCGATAGGGAGATATGCCTATCGATCACCTAAGAATGTAATCCATAATTTAAACTTCACCTTAGTCATATCTGGGAGTTGAGGAGGTCTATTGGATTTCCAAGGCACATAGGTGGCTTAACGTAAACTTATTACGCCAGGATGCTCTATTCTAACTCTTCGAGTCTTTCTTAGTCTGGGAGCACTAGAATGTATACCCTCTGACCGTCACTCACAATCGTAAGGTGCTAAGTGCATTGGTGGCGTACTAACCTATGTTATCATCTAGCCTTAACTTTGTGCAGACAAACATACTCTATAGGGAGAACATACCGTCAAACTCTTAGAGCTAGAACATACTTGACCATGCAAATATATATACAAACATATAATCAAGCAAGCTCAACAAGGAGATAACATCTATCAATCACCCAGAGCACAAATTTTAATAGTCTGTCCTCCTTTCTAACACAACGAAATACATATAAAACAACTTTCATCACAAATCCCGTCATAATCACATTTTAGTAATTTCTTACATCATACATAACATATTCATCCATATTGCCCAATTCGTATTCTAGTCATGCTTATTCTATTTTTTAGCTTATAAATTACATAAAATAGCATGCTACTCGAAAATCTCCTCCTAGGGACATAATAGTAATTTTACCATAACATTCATATAGTGCATGATCATAAAGAAAATGCTATTCAAAAGTTCTTAACATGCATTTTATAACCACCTGAGTTAATGAATGATCTCATGCTAGCACGTTCTTTCGATGCCTACAAGTATTATTTATCTAAATTTGGTGTGGTTTCTTACTTGGTGAAGTGTGCCTTCCTAAACTAGCTTTTCCACTTGTTAGGGGCCCCAAAGTTTCTAATTTCTCTGGTAGGTTCTAATTCAAGTAAAATTAGGGTTCTAATTTCTCGGACATTCAAGTCTCGATGTTGAATCGAGTTGCATCTTGGTACACGAGTTGAACTGCGCATTAGTTTGCGAATGCATGTCGGATCTAGCGCAATGTGTCATCTTCACACGTTAGACACGTTGAACCATCCATAGTGCCACATGTGTTATTCACCAAACCAACCGTGATTTATTAGATGGGTGAATCTATTTAAAAACATCTTAATGTTAACCTAACTATTTATTTATTTATTTATTTTTTTGGCAGTGGGATGATAGAAGCGGTTGGCCACGAATTCATGGAAGATTTTTTTGGTTCTTGTGAATCAGTGTTAGAGGACAATGGTCTTCTTGTTCTACAGGTTTAATTAATTTTTTTTTTATTTTTTACTTATAATTAATTCTTTTAATTACTCTTTATTTATAATATTTTTTTTTTTTTTTTTTTGCATTAGTTCATATCAATGCCAGACGAATATTAGAAAGAGTATCGGCTAAGTGCTGGTTTTATAAAAGAATATATATTTCAAGGAGGATGCCTTCCATCATTAAGTAGAATAACAACGGCCATGGCTTCTGCATCAAGGCTTTGGTAAATAGTTAATTTATGTTCTTCATTTTCAACAATAATTATTAACAAATAATGAAAAAAGTCCTTTGGATACAGTGTGGAGCACTTGGAAAATATTGGAATTCATTACTATCAAACATTGAGGTGTTGGAGAAAGAATTTCTTGAACAATCAAAGGTAAGAAACCATTATTATAATAAATGATTTTGAACAATCAAATGTAAGAAACCATTATCATAGTAAATGATTTCGAATCGAAATCTAATTTATATTTTGTTTCAGCAAAATACTTCAACTCGGGTTCGATCAAGGTTTCATACGAACTTGGGAATACTATTTTGATTATTGCGCTGCTCGGTTTAAATCACGAACCCTTGAAGATTATCAGGTAATCATATTTTTACATAAGATATCAAATTAATGTTAAGAATTGTAACAACCCTAGTTTTCTAGGGATCTAAAGTCGCTACAGTATGTACGACGTAGCTTTTCATGCATAAATATTTGCCAACATTTTCATAAAACAATTTCATAAACTTAGAAATATTAGATAAAAGAAAATAGATATTAAAAGTGACAATGCTCTATTGTAACCAAATGTCTAAGAATTTAAATACAATTGTCATATGCATGTGTCATAATCTTTACTTGCGATATCGTTGTCAGCTGTACATGGACCGGTAATTATATATATCAGACTAAATATGCAATTGAAGTCATAATCTAAAACTTTATTGCAGATTGTGTTTTCAAGGGCGGGTAATGTGGCAACTTTCAACAATTCATATGAAGAAATAGCTTCAGCATTCAAACTCCTTTGAAGAATTGCATTCACCATATTGAATTTCTTCGACTTTGAGATCCAAATGTTCCACATTTCTTCTATGTAGAACGCATAATATAATAATAATAATAATAATAATAATAATAATAAACTATTGAATAAAATAATTAGTACCAAAATATCCAATAATTTTGAAACAGTTATAATTATAAAAAGTAAAAAGGTAATATTGTAATTTAAAAAAGAATAAAACAACCTAACAAATTTCTAAATAAAATAAATAAAAATTAAGGATAAAAACATTTTATTCTAATCTATGTCTAGAATAAATATACATGTCTTACGCATATGTTATTATCTCGACTTACAATGTCATCGTCAGTAGTCATGAACTTAAATGATGTCATGGATTTAAATGTTCATAAAATTCATTTCAACGAAAAGTAAACATCAATGAAATAGCACAAAAAAAAAAAAAAATAAGTTCAAAGTAACAAAAACGCTATGATCTAACCCCTAAGGACTACAATTTAAACATAAATGAAACTACCCTAGCTTCAGTTCTATGGTCTTCATAACGACGCTATAATGACCCTAAATTTTCTTTTTAATCTAGAGTCGCTATTGTATACATATCATGAACATTGAATGCAAATATACTTCATTTAATTTAAACTTTTATAAAACATAATTTTCATCTTAAAACACTGCCATGGACTTTCTGTTTGAAAATATCTTTAAAACCACACAATGAAAGACTAAATAAGAATAAATAAACATTTAAATTAAAAACATCCTATCCTAGCCTAAGTCTAAGAATAAATCCATGTGTCATTGTCTCGAGTTGCGATGTCGTCGTCAGCCATACAGGATGTGGTTTGAGTGTTTTAACAAATACTCAATAAGCGACCCCCCTTATCGGGGTTAAATGCAAGCACATACAGATCATGAGTGAGATCTATCATATCAGTCTATTTTCCTAGAGAGACTATTTTTAAGCGGACAATTGGATGTGTGCTTAATTTCTACACATGCTCCACACATGTGAGTATGGGCTCATTAGTCGATCCGCACACCTCCTGGGCCCCTTTCTACTCGAGCAAGCATTCTCTGGTAGCTGTTGATGTCGAACACCCGTTAAGAATAGCGACCGTAATAACACCATTTTGGTAAATATAATGATCATTTTCCTGTTTCGTAGCATACGCATCCATACCATCGTACAAGGAGAAGAGGTATCTCCTAGTGTATGAACACACAAAAATTGAGAATTGAAGAATTATAGAAGTCAGTGGTAAAAAAATATGGAGAGATAAATGAGTTTTGATAGAGAAGAAAAGTGTCAAAAAAAAAAAAAAAAAAATAGAAATTAATGTAGACTATTGTATTGGGTTAAAAGAGAAATTCAAGATAGAGATTAAGAGCAAGGAAAATTTTCAAATTTTTTTTTTCAATATAATAATATAATAATAATATTATTAAAAACTAGTGTAGGGAAAATATTCTTATCGATCATCTAAAGCAGGAAACACATAATTTAAACTTTATCTTAGTCATATTCCGTAACTAAAGAAGTCTATTGAATTTCTAAGATGCTATGTAGCATTTTGTTCCAACTTAAGTCTTTGTTAGTTGAAAACATCCTCTTACCATCATTTTAAGAACTTGACTAGACTAGGTAAATACATTTCAAGGGTTTTCAATCCTCGAGATCGTCCTACAAAGATGTGAGTCATCATCTTCTAAACATGTAAGAGTAAGTTCAAAGAGTTTGGTGGTAAGTCATGGTTGGATTGCCCTTGACTTCCTCTTTAATAACCCTACGTTTTCCGACTCTAATTTGGCTTGAATCTTCACAAACTTAGTTGCATGGTTGGATTGCCCTTGACTTCCTCTTTAATACCCCTATGTTTACCGACTTTAATGGCTTGAATCTTCACAAACTTCGTTGCATGGTTGGATTACCCTTGACTTCCTCTTTAATAACTCTACGTTCGCAGACTCTAATTTGGCTTGAATCTTCACAAACTTCGTTGAAAAGTTGAGTCAAACTTGTGATTATTGGAATAGCCTTAATGTAAGGGCCAGACCTGCTAGATATTGTTCTCTTTGGGCTTTTCCTTACGGGTTTCTCCTCAAGGCTTTAAAACGAGTGCTAGGGAAAGGTTTCCACGCCCTTATAAGGGTGTTTCGTTCTCCTCCCCAACCAATGTGGGATTGTGTAATCTCACAATCCACTCCTCTTCAGGCCAGCTTCCTCGCTGACACTCGTTCCTTTCTCCAATTAATGTGGGACTCCCGCCAAATCCACCCCCTTTTGGGGCTCAGCGTCCTTACTGGCACACCGCCTCGTGTCTACCCCTTTCAGGGAATAGCCTCCTCGTTGGCACATGACCCAGTGTCTGACTCTGATACTATTTATAACGGCCTAAGCCCACTGCTAGCAGATAGTCCTCTTTAGGCTTTCACTTACGGGCTTCCTCTCAAGAAACGAGTGTCATCGAGGAAGCTGGGCCTTAAAAAGGATGGATTATAATAAAATACGTACTACATATATCATTACTATCATGTATGAAAAATTATTGAAATTAAGTTGGTTTAAAAACGGCCATGGATTTAAATAAAATTCATTTTAAATATGATAATAACATTATAAAAATAACATGGTTGAAAACATAAATGACAACATTTCCTATTAATGTTTAGAAATTAAATTTGGTTGATAGTAACATAAATGCATTCCTATGGTCTCTAAGAAATTAACACTTTGTACAAAATTCTTTGTATAAAGCTAGAATTAGATTACCTCTCACCATTCAAGATTTGGAACTATAAGTACGAAAAAATCTGACCCATACTTCAAGTTTTCAAGATAAAAGTGGATCACAACTTCTCTAGGCCATAAATAGTTTTACACATTGCAACCTAGGAACTAGGAACTAAAGCAAACAATTTTTCTCATGAGTAGGATAATTCAATAGTGCCCTATTTAATTTTTCACTTAATAGTTTTCCATCTTGCATCAAAACAACACCTATGACCAAATCATTTGCATCACATCTAATTTCAAAAGTTTTATCAAGGTTAGGTAAGACAAGTAACCGTGCATTGGTTAATTTCTTATTAAGCTCATTGAATGCATTCTCTTGCATTTCTTCCCATTTAAAAACAAGATTATTTTTCACTAAGTCATTTAATGGAGTAGCTATGTACTAAATCTTTTATAAATCTGAACTCCACTCGCATTTTTTTGGTGTTGGACAATCCCTAATTACTTTTAACTTTCTCTTCATCTACTTTGCCTCCATTTTTTCCAACTATGAAGTCAAAATTTTTCCATGCAAAAACTACCCATATTAAAATTAGCCTAAAGTTCCTATTTTCTTTTTAGTATAATCAAAACTGACTTAACATGCTCCACATGTTCATACAAAATCTTCGAATAAATTAAAATATCATCAAAATACACGACAGGTTTTCTCAAATATTCTCTCAAAACATAATTCATTAAACACATAAATGTACTAGGAGTATTATTAGTTAATCCTTATTTTGGATGATATTACTATTCAATAGTCTATTATTATCATCGCTATTATGATTATATCAGAAAAAGAAATTCAATAAAGTTATGGCAGATCTTCAAAGCAGTTGTTGAATGGTTAAGGTATTTCTTCATATGGATTGTTGAAAATTGCAACATTACCCGCACTTGAAAACACAATCTATAATGAAGTTTATATAACTTTAATTTTAAAAATTACACCAACATGATGACTTTAATTTGATATATATAATTATTGACCCAGGTACGACTCATGACTACATTGCAAATAAAAATCATGGCATATAATAAGACAGTTGTATTTAAATTCTTAGACCTTTTCTAAACCCGTAAATTCATGACATTGTTTTATGAAAATAATTTAAATAAATATTTATGCATACGTCATGCATGCAGTAGTGACTTTAGATTCCTAGAAAACTAGGGTTGTTATAATTCTTAACAATAATTTGATATCTTACATAAAAATATGATTAAATATATATAGATATAATACTTGGTAATCTTTGAGGGTTCGTGATTTAAACCCAGCAGTACAGTAATCAAAATAGTATTCCCAAGTTTGTATGAAACCTTGATCGAATCTGAGTTCAAGTATTTTGTTGAAACAAAATATAAATTAGATTTCGATTCAAAATCATTTATTATAATAATGCTTCCTCACCTTTGATTGTTCAAGAATTATTTCTCCAACACCTCAATGTTTGATAGTAATGAATTCCAATATTTTCCAAGTACTCCACGATGTATCCAAAAGATTTTTTTCATTATTTGTTAATAATTATTGTTGAAAATGAAGAACATAAATGAATTAGTTACCAAAGCCTTGATGCAGAAGCCATGGTCGTTGTTATTCTACTTAATGACAGTACGCACCCTCCTGAAAATATATATTCTTTTATAAAACCAGCACTTAGCCGATGCTCCTCATAAGACTCGTCTGTGTTGGATGATGAAAGTCCCACATCGGCTAATTTAGGAAATGATCATAGGTTTATAAGTGAGGAATACTAACTTCATTGGTCTGAGGCCTTTTGGGGAAGCCCAAAGCAAAGCCATGAGAGCTTATGCTCAATATGGACAATATCATACCATTGTGGAGAGTCGTGTTCGTCTAACATGGTATCAGAGCAATGCCCCAAACTCAGCCGTGCCAATAGATTGATAAATCCTCGAATGTCGAACAAAGGACTCCAAAAAGAAAAAAGGAGTCGAGCCTTTTCGAAGGTACGAAGGCAGTCAAAAATGACTAAGACTCCAAAGGAGTCGAGCCTCGATTAAGGGGAGACGTGCTTTGTTCGAGGGGAGGTGTTCGATGATGAAAGTCCCACATCATGAGGAATACTACTTTTGGGGAAGCCCAAAACAAAGTCATGAGAGCTTATGTTCAATATGGACAATGAGCTTATGCTCAATATGGACAATATCATATCATTATGGAGAGTCGTGTTCGTCTAACAGTGGTATTGATA